CGTTTAATTCCCCATTCCGTCTTTACTATAGTCCAACCTCTGCTAACGGCCACCTCTCGGCTACAACGGCCACGTTTTTTTTTTTTTTTTTTTTTTTTATCTCAGGGCGGACAAAAAAATCCATACATTGACTCTTGTTTGAATCCTCTCTACAACGGCCACTTTATTCTGTCCGGAGGTTCAACTATGATTCTAGTTGGTGCAATGTTTACACTAGTGTCTTGGTGCTTATCACCTCATAATTAACTAAGTTTGCACCCCTTTTCTACTGTTCTTTCACTGGTCTAACATTTCTCCCCTCTTTCTCCCTCTCCCCCTCCCCCTAAACGCCTTGCTTACTACTATTAGAACGTCCATTCACCCGGAATCTGAATCTTTTACATTTGGCTACTTTCGAGTATGATCACAGATTGTAACTTTGACCCTTAGATTGGGCTCAAGGTTGTTAGTAGTAGACCCCGTCCGTTTTAATGTTTGGGTTTTTACATATCCAAGTTGACCCCCTCCCCCGTCACCCGGAATTCAAAGCAAGAAATAAAAGAAAGAGTGCTGCTGGCTACTAGCCAATGTTCAGGAAAACATCCCTCCGAGTTAAAGAGCTCTAATAGGATCATAGACCAGACTCCGGAGACGGCGGAAATTATAGGCCTAGTGTTTTCATGCTACCATCCTCGTACTGGCAAAGGACAGCTCCATACAATTGCGTGTGGGATCGGTAGGGAAGGTTAAATTATGTGAAGTTTGATGATAGTAAAAACAGGAAATCAAGAAAGCCATCCACATTCTAAGAATTAAACCATATTTTTTTTTCTGTCTGCACTACAACCTGTCCCATGCAAAGGTTGGTAACAAAGCCAGAAAACCCTCGATTGCAGAGTGTGAAAATTATTGTTATTATGATTCATGAGACCTGAGAAAGGCTCTAAAAGGAGTCAGAGGTTTGCACTGGCTTCGTTTAAAATCCTTAGTGTACATAAACTTTTAAATTTTTTCAGCTGGTTTCGTTAGCCCATTTAAAGTATGTACAGTATCAAATTTTATAAGCTTTCTGTGCATAAATATCAGCCATACGTATCTGGACCATTTCCTCCCAATTCTCGCTTTACCTACGACTACTACTGGAGCTTCACCTTTTTCCGCTACTCGTTGGACAACACAAAGTTCTTGGGATATGATAGCACTGGCATGCTTACGTTAGTGGATGGAATGCAGGCCCCTGCGTATCCAAACCCTCAAGCGCTGTTTATCCTCAACGAAATTTAAGTCTGGAGTGTCAGGTTCACTTGCTTCTTTTGTAAATTTAATAGACACGAGAAATGATGACGTCACAAAAATTAAGTTTTAATCAAATTATGGGGTTGGTTTGCATACGTTGTAGTTAATTTTTTATCTCAGGTAATTTTTATTTTTCTTTTGTTTCAACTTCATTTGTATACATTACCATACCCCAAAACAAAAGAAAAACGAAAATTACCTGAGATGAAAAATTAACTACAACATATACTTTAAACGATACAATAGACGCCCACTCTCAAAACGCCTCCTGTCTTATTAACGCACCCCCACGCCTTCAAGTGCGTATTAGGACCCTCTGTAACAAACACCCCCCTGTCTGATGGACACCCCCAATGACAGTTACTCCAAATGCTATGCTATGCTATTTAATTCAAAGTAAGGATTCTGATATCGAAAGTTAAGGTTTAAAACAACCACATTGATTTAAGGTGGCTCTATGGGGTTTTTCAGGGTCAATACCTCCCAAGTTTGAGCATAAACTAAATCGCCATTATAATAAAAAAGATTTTGAAAAAACGCCACCACTATATTAGATAATGAAAATTTGTTATTTTCAGGGTTATAATGACATCGGAGATCTCATAGCAACGAAATGACGCAATTACCTTTTTCACTTGCAGCCGTATTTCTCGGCACATTTTGGTCTATTTAAACAACGGTTTCAAGATTATTGATAACTTTTAAGGCAGCAAACTACAAGGGCTACAATTCGCTAATCTTTTGGACAGTCCGAAATTTCTTGTTTACAAGTGAGAGTCTCTTATTTAGGGGTACTGTCGCCAAGTTTCATATTGATTTCCATGGAGATCAATAGCTATCATTTCTGCATGTTTCAAAGGCTTCGTTAGTGACTGCTGTTTAGCCCTCGCTTGGGCTCCTATAATCAAATAGAGGCCCAGGGCGTTTATTAGACATTTTACGAGATAACCAGAAAGAACACCATGAAAAATAGGCAAATTGGTGGGGAGATATAAGCACTATTAGGGAACTTAAGAACCACGACGACGACCGGAAGTGACTTACAGTGTACTGCGCAAGCGCGACCAGTAAATTTCGTCGTCGTGGTGTCGTCGACGACGCCAAACTAAGTAGCATCACGTCGTCCTGCAATCCATAAGCTTTGGCAGGTATAAATCCACTGTTTTAGGCGATTTTTTAAGTCCTTTGCATTTTCTTATCCTAGTAAATCCGGGTATCGTTCCTTTTTTCTCCTAACAAGCGATGTTGATGAAAATTCGACTAATGAATTGTTTTTACTTCGAAAAATGACAACAGCTGTGGAGGCCAAGAGAGCGAATTCGTAAGTGATAAATTTATTTGTACGTATTTACTCGGTAAGGCAAATCATATATCTTTAATGTAGAGGAAATAAATTTTAGATGGAAAACAGCTCTCACATCAGAATGTCTCTTTTTCCAAATCTATTACTCTGACAGACGCTCGGACTCGGTCATCTCACTCAGGTTAAAAGTTGAATAATCTTCGTGAGGAAAGCAGGAGTTTTTCCACTCGAAAAGGTCAGACAACGCAGAAAATTATTCATCGTCAATGAAATTAGACGTACGGCTTAAAAAATGAGATCTTGCATTGTTCTAAAAGACGCCACTGCGAAAAACTTTGTTGCGAACCACAGCATGAAAATGGAGATTTACGCAAAATTAAAGTTTGCGTAAACCTGCGTAAAGTTGGTCATCCAACTTTACGCAAACTTTCCACGGCGCGTAAAGTTTGTAAAGGTAAATTTACGCGCTCGGCTCTTAAAGGTTTCGTAAAGCTAGCATAAAGTTGTTGTAACAGCTTTACGCTCATTTACGCTACAAGTAAAGGTTTAGTAAGGTTGTCATATAATGCTAGCTTCCTAACAGCAATTTATTCCCGACACTGTTTTTAGTAAGTCGTTTGTGACCTGATACTAGTTCGCATAGTTTTTTTGATCACTCATTTGCAATTGGTGTTCGATGTTGGTGTGCGATGTAAACAAGCCAACCACGCAAATTTTTTTTGGTGGTGCGAACGACTTCGTACACGCTTAAAAATGACGCTGAAAAGAAAATTCTGCTGGCAGAGTTCATGCAAAGATATAGCTTGCGACTGTGCGGCAATTTTCGAAAAACGGCATATCTGTCGCGGCAAACACAATAGCCTTCAATACTCAGTAGTATTCCCTCATTGATTTCAGTCAGTATAAGATGTTTCTTCCTTAACGGTCACCTCTCTACACGGGCCATTTTTGTTTTGTTTTTTTTTTTTTCGGCGGACGGTCCATACATGACATACATTTACTCTCGATCCTTTCAACCTCTCTACTATGGCCACTTTCTTCGATGTCCCTAAGGTGGCCGTTGTAGAGAGTTTCAACTGTAATTTGATCACGTTGAAATAATTGGAAAATAAAGAAAAAATATCGCCTCGCAAAAACGGCGAGTTTTACTTAAAGAAAGAACGCATTACTTAAAGAGAAAGAACGCATTCACAAATTACTGTGACCATTTTACATTCAATGGAGTACTGGCTTCATTGTTGAGCCTCCTTTATCGCTTCCTTATTTTAATTCCGCGGACTTCAGGTTTGGGAACGGACAATTTGTTAAAAGAAAGGGGCCTGGAAACAATAGAGTGAAGGGACACCTGGTCAGCGGGCTTGTTCCTTTGCACATGCTCAATCAGGTTCGTTGATTTGGCGTTCATTTTGAAAGTGTCCAACGGTTTCAAACTTGCTTCTTTGAAAGGTTGGAGATCGTTCATATATTATGCTTCTTGATAGCATCACAGGACATCTTAAGGTTGTTACAATTTATAATGGCACTATAGACCGAATGCAAATATGGCGGACCACTCGGGCGGACCGGGCCGAGTTGCGCGAAGTCGAGGCTAGTTAGGCCACGGCTTTTCCCTGATGTTTTGGTTGTCACGAATGGCTGCACGTGTACTAACCCAGGACGATATCCCGGGAGCTTCTCTCGCTGGAAGAGAGCCCCAGGCATTAAAATGCGAAGAACTTCGTTTTTGGCTTAGATGTAGAGGCGATTCTTTGAAGGGATTGAAAACAAAGGCAGCGCTAGTGAAGAGGTAAGGCGCAAGATCGCTTCGTGTTTCGCTATGACTTGTCAAAATATTACACCTATACATGTGAAAAATCGGATTTTACGAGTTAAAAGTAGTTTTCTTTTCGCTTTTAAAGGGTGGAAGAGTATATCAGAACTGGCCGAGACCAAAATATAGTTGATCCTGATCCTCACAATGTGTATACAAAGCGCAAAGAACACCGAACCGCGAGTGAAGACAACATTTCAGCTGCTGTTAATGCACCGCAACCAAACTACCCTTCGGATGGCTGGTCTGGCGATTTAAAACGAATGCCTTTTTTCACGCGTGCCGAGATGAACAATCATATCGCAAAGTCAGGGAAAAACATTGATTCAAGCAAAAGTCACTCAGTACCAACTAGTGTGCGAAAAGCTACAACGTTTTTGAACGACGAATATTTAAAGAACTTGTCAGCAGCAAGCGATAATACTTATTTCTATTTGCGCTGTCAGTGCCATCACAGCTTTAGAAAAAATGATCCTCCGCACAACTTAAAAGTTGCATTGTGCATTTTTAGTGGAGAGGTCAAGAATGCCTCTTGCTCTTGTGTTGCTGGCCAGGTCGGGTTTTGCAACCATATTTTGGCTCTTTTGTTAAAATTATGCAAGTTTTCATTGTATGTGTAAAAGTGTGACTGATCTTGAAAACGAAGACGATATGCAGCCAAAACGGAGCTGCACATCAACTCTGCAGCAGTGGCATCGCAAGGGAAGAGGAGACTGTATAAATCCACAACCAGTGATGGAAGTGTTGGTGACCAAAACAAGCTTAGAGTTAGACAAACAATCATCATCCAGATACTCTGGTGTGAAATGTCTTTTGTATGAGGCCCGAAATAGCCTTAAGGGTCAGCAGGCATCTGAAACAAAATTATTGGAACGGTTAAGAGAGCTTAACCCTAAAATGGCTTTATCACAAATTATGACTGCAAGAACTGAGTCAACTACACTCGTCCCGACAAAATTTGGAAAAAGTCCTCAAGGATCCTTTGCCAGTTACCAACTATCCGTTACTGAAGATAACTTTAAAGTGTTTTGTGACATTTCATCTGTCAACAGGTCAGATTCAGACAATCACGTTCATGATTCTCAGTTAACTGCTTTTCCCAGATTTCCCCTCAGGGCTTCACATGAACAGTTTCAAATACCGACTGAGATTTCTGGAGATGAGAAATGCTTACTAGAAAAAATACAAGTAGATGTTGATGAGCTAAATGAAATTGAAAGGAAAACACGGGAACAGTCAACTTGCCAAGAATGGAAGGATGAAAGAAAATTTAGGTTCACTGCCTCAAATTTTGGCCTTATCAGGGAAAGGAAACGAAACCATGAGACCCTAGTAAAAAATCTACTTAACCCCAAACCTTTTTCTTCGAGGTATACAAATCATGGACTCAAATATGAGCCAGTCGCCCTTGAACAGTACCAGAAGTACATGATGTCAATTCGAAGGCCTGTTAAGATACTTAAGTCAGGACTTGTTATCAGCCTAGATTCCCCCTACTTGGGTGCTTCACCTGATGCTAAGGTAATTGATCCAGGATGCAATGATCCATTTGGGCTTTCTGAAGTCAAGTGCCCAGAGACAAAATATCTGGTTACTCCCTTGGATGCCTGTTCTGATAGTAATTTTTTCATGGAAGAAGTTGATGGAAAGCCAAAGCTTAAGAGGACACACAAATACTACTCTCAAGTCCAGGGACTGATGGGAGTAACTGGTGCCAAGTGGTGCGATTTTGTTGTATATACCAGCAAGGGAATGAGTATTGAGCGCATTCCATTTGATCCTCAGTTTTGGAATGAGTTAAAAGGAACACTAAAAATGTATTATTTCAAACACTTTTTAGCTTTAGCAGCAAGGGAACCTTAATTTAACCTATACTGCAGCATGTGAAAGTTAATGTCACTGTTTCATATAGTGTCTATGTACTAGTTATGCCTAGCTTCTATTTTAGGGTTTGTAACATTCTGAGACACAATCACCTGGTACCAGACTGCTTTACTGTGTTCAAGCCAAAATCAAGTCATACACACTGTACAAATATGTTCTGTCTGCAATCATAAAAATGGAGGACATTTTATGTGATATCTGGTATACAGTCAATTTAACGAGAGCTTCTGATTGTGTTGCAGACTGCTTCAGACCATTACAGAAAAAAGCACTACTAGTGGTAATATTATTATTTTTCAAGTCAAAAAACGTCAAACAGATGATGAAAAAAATAACAATATTTCATATATATAATACTGTTTCAGTCTTAATATGGATATAATTTTCCAAATTTCTTACGATTAAAAAAGTTTAGAAAGTTGCACAAACTTATAGTTTGTTTTAACATATACATGTAAATAAGCTAATGGTTAATGTTCATTGTACAATAATTTGTTTAAACCTTAAGGAAACTTGAGATGGCGACTCATTAGTGCAGTCAGTTTTTGTGGCTTTCAACATTAAATTACAATGTGAATCAAGGACAAAAATATTAATTTTGTCATACTTATCCAGAAATAAGCGGATCGTGAACATTGCACATAAAAGCACACACACTCCACATCTGGTTAACGACTCCGAATAAACTTAATGGTACAACTCTCTGCCAGATACGGAAGTTCTTAATCTTGTTTATTGCCCTTTCCACATGAATCCTTAGACTTGCAATTTGCTGTGTCCGCACTACATCCTCCGCTGACATTTGGCTGTCTCCTCCGAGAAATGGTGGGATGTTAAGGGTAACACCCAAGGGCAAAATATCTTGAATCTGAAATCCTTTGTCAGCCATGACCGAGTCACCATCATCAAATGCTTGTGACAGTAGCCCACTTCGCACAACAATTTCCCTGTCAGAAATACTGCCTGTGTATAATTGGCTCACAAAAGTGATGGCACCACTTGGAGAAATTCAAACTAGTCCTTTTAATGTCACATGATTTTTGTAGGAGCTGAATAGTTCAGAATTTAAAAGTAGACTACTTGGCATTTCACAAAACACTTCCGTACAGTCTATTTTGACTCTTGTATTGGGAAATTTCTCCTTAAAATCAAGAGGCATGGTTTGTTGTACAACAGCTTTAGACGGCCAAATGCAGATTTGTCCAAACTTCAAGTACATGAAATTAATCCACTGGATAAAACTTCTGCTCACTGTTGATTGTGCCACACCATATAAGTTAGCTAGATGTCGCTCAGAAAATCCTCTCCTTAAGCGACACAGAACAATAAAAAATTCCTCTAAAGGCTTAAGTTTTCGGCGGCGTCCTCTCTTGGTTGTCGACGTATCTTCCTCGTCGTCAGATTCAGAGTTGTAAAACTCCTCAGGAACGTCTGAGCTGATCCTGGAGCGAATGTTTTCACAATCCTCACCAGGATTCAAAAATTCAAAAATACTTATGAGAGTAGCATAATTAGGAAGGCCAGTATAAAAATTAACATCCGCATTGGACTTGAAGCGATCAAGAGAAAATAAACGGGACGACAGTGTCTCCTGGTGCTGTTCGTTTTCGATAATCTTTCTTTCCAGTTCCTTTCGAAGGATCGCAAGCTCCTTTTCAGATTGTAAAAGTCTAGCCTCCAGATCCTCGACTTTCTTTCCTTGATCCATTTCCACGTTACTCTCGACACTAATATCGGGCTCATCTGTTTCGTTCCCTCCACTTGTACTGGGAAATATTTCATTTGAACTTTCAACAGCTGAAGACGCGATGTTGATTTCAGCAGAAGTGTCGGATGTAATCAACCGCTTCTCGACACTAATACCGGGCTCATTTGTTTCGTTGCCTCCACTTGTACTGGGAAATATTTCATTTGAACTTTCAACAGCTGAAGACGCGATGTTGATTTCAGACGACGTGTCGGATGTAAACAACCGCTTCTTCGAAGACAAGGGAATTGGCAAAGGCAACCTTTCAGTTGGTGCTTTTCTTTTCCTTGGGGATGGAATAGACCAAGCAAATCTTGACGGTACACATCCATCCACAAGATAAGTTCGTCCAGCGAGCGACTTTCTAAGATCTTCTCGTCTAAAATGCAAAGAGCAAACTTTCGTGTCTCGAGTGATCTGCCAGTTCTTTCCTCCGTCTCCTTGGATCGCGTGAATCCACCTCTTTCTCAGTGAAGATTGATTTGGAAATTCAAAAAAACCCGTCGGCGATTTTACACCTTTTTGGTTACATTCAGGGACACAGCAATGAGTGGGCATCGCGAAAATGACTATCAATACGCTCGATGTTTGCAAGTTTCTACTGACGCGTTGTCAAAACAAAACACATCGAGGCCTAACTAGCCTCGACTTCGCGCAGCTCGGCCCGGTCCGCCCGAGTGGTCCGCCATATTTGCATTCGGTGTATCAGCCTTTAGTAATCGATCACTTCTCAAGTGTGCAGCAACCCTTTCGGGACGAGATACTCAGTCAGAAATGGAGACAGAAACATCGTGTGAAGCGCAAGCATTAACATAGCCTGCGTAGCAGGCGCTGGGAAGTAGCGGGCGAAAGAGAGAACGGGCGCGCGCGAGGGAGACACGCAAGGGGTGAGGGAGCGCCTGCACGGATGGCCCCCGAAAATCGTTTCAACTCGCACTCTGTAAGTGCGGATATTTCCAATTGGTCGAGAGGCTCCCGAGAGAAAAATTAACCGCGCGGGGCGAGAAAACTGTCAATCAATAGTACATGGACAACGTAGTGAAGATCTTGCATTACACCACTGGGTCCTGAAACCACTAAATTGTATACAATCGAAGTTCAGGTCTCGGAGGTCACTTCAATCTGGTTTAATGGGACTATGTGGCTGTAATGTCAAAGAAAAGTTGGAGTGTTCAAACGGTATTCACGATGGAAAGAATTGACATCGGATACGCATCAACAGATGTGGCGAGAGACAAAAGATTTGTCGAATCGTTGCAATGAAGGTCAGAGGAAATATTCTTTGCTCAGGAGAACTTGGCGGCTTGTGCTGTCGATGGAATGTATACCATCAAAACTTGGACACGATTGATGAAATGAAACACTTACCAGGGGCATGAACTTGAAAAAAACATTTCACTATAGTATTATTCGCCGTTCGAAGGCGACCTGAGGTCTGTTGTTTATGTCTCATTACTGCAGTAGAAAACATGTCGGTACAGTTTGTGTTCTGAGGTTTAGGTCCGCTTAGTAAGACATGTCTGCTCCAAAAACGGCTGCCAGTGAGCGCAGTAAAAGCAATATGGTCATTTTCCACGTACGCTGTGATCGTTGGTGTCTGACCAGAACAATATTTTTAGTTTTTATAATACACAGCATGCATTCTTTAAAAGATACCCAGTTTTTACTTTGTTATTTCCTATTTATTGTGACCATGTTAAAAAACGATTTAAAGCTGTGTGTTAACCATCAGTTTACTGGTCCATCGCTCTATAATCAGATAACCCAGCTGATCTTTATAACAGCTATATTTAGACCGAAGATAAAACGTACAACGCTTTTTGGCGGCTTGCTTTGTTTGTGCGAGGTCAGTCGTTTTCTGTCAAAACTTTTGACAGATCACGCAACGGCTGCCAAGTAATTAGAGAGGGGGCGGGAAACGATTTTCGGGGGCCTTCCGTGCAGGCGCTTCCTCTCCCCTCGCGTGTCTCCTTCTCGCGCGCCCGTTTTTTCTTGTGCCCACTACTTCCAAGCGCCTGCTACGCAGGCTAGCATTAACACTGGAATGTTCACAACACAGACCAAGACTGTATTACACGTATTACTAAGGCTCTTCGATACTCAAGATCTCGCTGAAAAGAGCAGATAGTAAGGCAAGGTAAGTTGTCCTGGCTCGCCTTTTCTCTAACTTTTTAAGCTTAATTCCAACTTGTTTATGACGAGTTCGAGTGACTGTCTCAAGTACTCAGTAACTAACATTTCAGTGGGCAATGAAACCAGCATTAACCGTTTAAAGTAAATTATAACTAAACATGTGTATTTATTTGGCATAACCTTTCAATACTAAGCAAGCAACGAGACCATGACGTTGAAGATGATAATGTAAAATCATGTAACGACTTTGGGGGTCTGAAGGAGTAGAATTTCCTTGTTTTGTACTGGAAAATAGGAGTTTGGTCTCTGGTACTGGGAATTACTAAAAGAAAATCAGGGGCACCCAATGGATCTGTTCCTCAAAATATCTGTTCTTCATGCAAATTTTTGCTGGCTGGGAGATGTGGAAGAAATAATAGTCCTTGGAAGGAAAGTGTTGCTGGGAAAAAGATAATTCAGGATGTCAGAGGGGATTTGAAGTCTAGAATAGCTGCTACGGGTTACTTGTATGGGTTGCTTACCACTCAAGATCTGAATTGTGCCCTATAAAACTTCCCAGTAAGTCAGGTTGCAGGTTGTAAGGTTGCTGGCTGGGAACTCTTCCATCAGTCTTGCTGGGAGTGAGGAACAGATAATTTTTTTCCAGCAATCTCCCGAAATGCTTAAAATAGTCTCAGAAAACTTTATTCACGCTTTGTTGTTGTTTTTAGGTCTTTTTCTCAAAATTTCCCGTTAGGTGCCCCTGGAAAATAATGGAATTAAGAAAGGACATCTGTATAAAGTAAGCTTACATGTAATGTGATACAAACATTCTTATGAAAATTTTCACAGACTATAGAAGAACTAATAGACAGAATAGAAAAGCGTTAACAAGTGTTGAATTTGCAAGTAGGCAAAGATAATCTACGTAGTTTGGTTCTATATTTTCATGCGTCAGTCCATAACAAACCCAAGCTTCCCAATTCCCGGGGCAGTCATAGCGTCATAAGTGGTGAATAATTTAACAGCATGCATGTATTTTTTGAAGCAGGTACAAAAGTTTATTTTTGATTTTAAATTACGTGGGTTTTAACTTAAATGAACAGAGAATGAATAGACATTTTCATGAGTCTTTCAATGCATAGCTAATGCAGACCATGATTGAATTAGAATGTATTTTCATGTAAGTGCCAACATAGTTGTTAACATCTTCACAGTTTCATACCTTCATCTGCAGTTCAAAGTATGATTCATTTCATATATTACCATTAATTTTAATCTTCATTGTGCACTGCTCCTATGCAATTATATTGTGGTTCTTGAGAGGATACAGTGCAGCACATACTGTCAGGAAATTGAATGCCTTACTTTTTGGGAAGCAAAGCACACAGTCATGTTAGAAATCAGAAATTGTTCTATTTGCAACATAGTTGTATCGTCAGTAAATCTAGGTTTAAAGGAAAATAAAATTTAAAGAAACAAGTTGTGAAAGATAAGACTCTTAAGAGAGTCATAGCAGTCATAGCTGTTTTGGATTCTCTTGTCTACATACACCATTATTAATCTGCAAATACAACTGTCTCTCTTGTGAAATGTCCCTGGTGGCAAGGAAAGAAAATAGGCTGCTTTATTTACAGGGTACACTGTACATTATTATTAGGAGGCATTGTTTTCAAGATTGAGGATAAGGGCTTTAAATAGCAAAGTGGCTTCACTCCTGTTACATTAACTAGGAACCTTGAACGTTTCGTATTAAAAAGGAAAAAATATATATTAGGTAAAGTTTCAGGAAAATTGAAAACTTTTGGGAATAAGGTGCTTATATGTTTCTATATTTTCCCTGAAAGTCTTTGGTGGAGCTCATGAGAAGGCTAGGAAAGTTTATTGATTTGGAACTTTAGTCCGGGACAGGTAGAAATTTAGTTCGAACATGTAAACCTTTGATATGACTTGTCCGTGGGACAAGCACATTTTTAATTAGAAAAATAAAAATAAGAAACAGTTGCCTTAAATATTCCATTTAACTTTGCCATTCCACTGCCAGTTGTTTCATCCATTTGCTTTTTTACAAGCTCTGTTGTAGGTTTAATTCAAAAATAATATACAAGGGTAATAATGTGATTAAATAATGTGATTAAAAACATTAAATGCCCGTTGCAAGCTAAACTTTTTGGACAAGAACTCTAGGTTTCGGACAACCAAATTTAATGTATTGCTTGTGTGAAGGACAAGTGGATAGGAAAATTTCTCTCTTACGAGGGTACAAAGAAGGTGATTTTTAAAGCTTGCCATTCGGGCAAGCTGAAGCTAGCATATACTAGCCCAAATGTCATTTCAACTAGCCCCCAAACCGTTTTGATGAGCAGAATTGATTTCACAGTTCTTCTTTAATTTGAATTCCTCAAAAAAACTTCACTTGCCCATCGGGCAAGTTAAGTTCAAAATTCACTAGCTCGATAGCAAAATCCACTAGCCCCGGGGTATCGGACACTACTTTCTTTGTGCACTGCTTACTCTCTAATAATAATAATAATGTACATCCAGTGGTTTTTCATAGCACTTTACAACGATATTAATGGATGATACTTTTATAAAAATGCATACATTAAAATAAAAAAAAGATATACATTGTAAAACATTGAACTCTAATAATATAATAAACCATTGTTAATAAATTTAACATATATATATGCTTCAGTCTCCCGGACTAGTAAGGCACTGTGCCTGTGTTATAAGACATGAGACTTTAATAAAGTTCATTACTATTATTATTATTATTATTATTATTATAGGGTTTCCATGTAGCATTTTCCCCTGATTTTCACTCAACTGCAAGTAGGGTTCTAAATGTAAATATTATTGCCTTTAAGGAAAGCCTTTAACTCATACTAGTCAAACATTTTGAATCTTTAACAGTCAGATGAATCTTATTCAGTTGTGTGAATTTGTGGACATTGAAATCATTTGCTACTCAGGTTTTGCACTGTTATTAGACCACTTGTGGAAAATGCCTTATCATTTTTTTTCAAATTTTTAGTCTTGGTTTGTGAAAAGAGGCATGTGGGGAACCCTGTGTCAAGTAAAATTGTGCTGATTGTAGTAATTTGGCCGTGAGTGTAGGAAAAAATATTATTAATTAGTAATAGCAGACGGTGTCCTCTGGCAACTTAGGGGGTGTTTACATGACACCGGGGCAACTTTTGCCCCGGAGCGAGTTCACTCCGGTTCCCTCTCATAGCTCTACATTTGTTACATGATACCACCACAAAATGTCATGCAGGTGCGAGTCACCCCAGCGTGAGTTCACCCCGGTTCTTGTACCGGGGCGAGAATTTCACTCTGGTACAAAATCTCATGGCAGTATCATGTAAATGCGAAACGACCACCCGTTTCAGCATGAAATCGGACTGCCGGTAGACTGGAATGGGTAGCGCACGCGTAATGTT